GCATCAATTCGGGCACAAAGTCAAGCAGTTCGACTGTACTGGTAGCTAATTTTGCCTTTCCCAGTCGAATTGCATAGGCGTTCTCGAGGCCTGAAACTCGTCTTGTCGGTATCACGAGGCAACAGCTGGTGTGTTTAATACCGGCCTCGACGAAGGCAGCAAATGTAGCAGACATTCAAGTGCCCTCGACATTGGATGGTTGTAGGGTTGAGCTGTTGGTGCCGGTCGACAGTCGGCCGAATTGCCTAGATTCTGTGAAATTTCGGCCCAGCACTCGTAGATGCGTGTCTTTCAGCACAGGGTTTGAAGTTCATACATACAGAATTACGCAAACAGACTCAGCTGAATGCATACAAGCATGGAGACCAGAAAAACATGCAATTGGGCTCGGGTTAACAGGCATTCTTGGCAAAAAGGCCTGGTATGGCTGGTCTCTGAGGGTGGAACATATGTTCGTCATGTTTACTCTGCAGAGTGTCTTGTTGCCATCCGACAGTGGGGGAAAATCTATTTTCACAATTTTGTAAAGGAAAATGAGGTGTGATCCGCCCAGTCTAGCCTCTGTCGAAACTGATACGTATATGCCGGCTTTCCTGTTGCCAGAGACGGCGAAAATAAAAACCAAAGATGGCCGGTCGGCTTATTAGCCCAAGCAACTGGGGGTACCGGGTGCCGAATCCGGCAGCTTCTCCCTCTCGACGGGCATATGAACACATGCACAGGCGGACAAGCCAGCATGACCCATATGCCACAGGGCAATCTGACCGACCGGCAGACTGACACACACGAATGTGGCCCAGCACAAATGTCAGTTATCTTGCCCCATTGTTGCGGAGACCTATCGGCAAATGCCCTCGTCGAACTAAGGCAGCACAGATCTATGGCCCAATTAACCGTACGGCTTCTCTCTCTCCCTCCCTCCCTCACTCACTCACTCACTCACTTTGTCTCTCACTCGCTCATTCACTCTGTCACTCTGTCTCTCTCTCTTCCTCTCTCTCACACTCACTATGTGACTCTTTTTCTCTCTCCTTTCCACCCC